TAAAGCATAGCATGTATAAACTGTCAGCAGGTAGACGTGCCTCTGCGCACACCCACCGTATTGACCAATCAGAGACCATCTTATATGGATCTACTTTGTCTTCTTCCGCGCGTAGTCTCTTTTTATATGCAATATCGATTTAAATATTACAATCTATTTTACAAACGTAATATAAGATTTGTATATATATATATATATATATATTAGATTGTCTCAAAAGTTTCTTTCTTTTTTAGTTATTTTACAGGTACAATATTTTTTTGTGTTGAATAATTTAAAGTATAGTGAAAGGTGAAATAAAGTAGAATTGATATCTTTTAGTCAAATAACGTAAAATACGAATAAAAAAAATATATTACGCATACAATATTGTTCAACTTATTATCAAACAAAGGAATAAATGTTTGGGTCCACTTAATATATATATTACTAATATACTAATTAAATAACTAACACTAAATAACTAATATAATATAATATATATATTATATATTATATAATTATATTATTATAATATTATAGTATTATATATATATATAACAATGGCGGGATTTGGTATTTGCGTCAATGAACTTCCGAGTTCCTAATGCCAATTAATAATAATAATATAACGATAATACTATATATTACTATTATTATTATATAATAGTATTATATTAATATATAATACTATTATTATTATTATTATTATTATTATTATTATTATTATTATATTATATACTTTATCATTTTGAAATTATATTAAAATAATTTGAGTATGTTCATATGTTACAATCCTATAAATTAAATACGATAAATATGATCGATGAGTAATATCTCTATTCCCCATATTATCGTTTAACTATATGATAAACGCTATACAATTAAATTAATCAAATAGTTTGAATTCTGATATAATTCGAATCAAGTATAATATACGTATAGGTATATTACACATGTTATATGAATGTTATATATGTAGACATTGATATCTAATCGAAGTAAATGTTTTTTTATATGTGAAAAGATACGAAATATCTAAAGAGGATTTTTGATAAAAGGATAACGAACTACGTTAACGTAAAAATATATATATGTTATAATTTTTTCATTCATATAAATATCGTGAATCATAGACATTACTAGAAATTATCTAAAGATATTCGTTAATATTAATTTATTTTAATTCGTTAATTTATATTCATATATATTTATTTATATATATAAATAAAATATGATAATCGAAAAAGATTCATGAGATTTTTAAATTGCATATTGTATAAATATAATTATTAAATATCGACCAATGAAAATTCAGTAAAACCAGTCTATTTGCTTTACGTCACAATTTATCTTTCACAATCAATTTCCCTCGATGTACGTATGCGCATCTTATATATATATATATATATATATATGCATGTAGTATAGTTACGCACATGTTGCGTCACACAAAAGGAACTTTACCGATTATCTCCTATCGAATAAAAAACAATCATTGCGACAACGAAAGAAACGAATGATGCGAAGACATAGCTTTGGAAAAATATCGATAGTCAAGGGTACCAGGAACTATTATTGCAAGGTGATCGAGTAGATCTCGATCGATCAAATATTTCATTTTTAAAGAAACGATTTTATGAAAAAAAAAAAAAAAATTAACAAATTCGTGTACTAATTCTTTGAAAATTCTATGTCAAATATAACACCACGTTTATATAAAAAGAAAAGTGAACCGTCTTTTGCAACCCACGTGACTTCAAAAACCCCCTCATGCATTATAATAAACATATATTAACAAATGTAATCTTTCAACGCGTGATATATATATATATATATACTAGACTAGAATATGTCGCTTGTGTGCTATTCGCCCGGCTTTGAATAACCGCGCCATTTCGAAACTTCGCTATAAATAGAATATTTTCTTGCTAACGTGTACGTTTTCTGATCTGTAACGTGTCAATAAATTTCTAATTTGTTATCACGCTAACGTGATTCTCTTTCTTAAGGATTTCTTATTAATCATTCTGTATAATCAAATATACGATTTATTATATATATCGATTATATATATAATTTATAAAACTAATTGTAGATCATACATATAAACTGAAAAAAACTTGAGACTTTCAACAAATTATATATAGTTAAATATGAAAATAAAATAAATACGTAAATAACTTACCCCTTTAGCAGAGATCGGTACTGTAGTTTCTCTGGTATAAATAGGAGCATCCAAATCACTGACACTGCTACTGATACTTGGTGCTCTGGAATCACCCCTACCACCTAAAGGTACCGAAAGATGAGTGGGTCTAAGTGGATGTGATTCTGCGATGTATCCCTCGCCAAAATCTTCGTCGTCTCGATCCATCTTAACAAAAATAAACGTAATTCGTATTAATTTGTAAGAAAAGAAAAAAAATAGACATGTATTATTAACGTACAAATTGTAAAATCTTGTCAACTTTGCATCGTAAAATAATTGTTGATTTTTCTTATATTATCCTACGAAATTGGGCATCGTTTATAATGGATATGTAAGTTAACATATAAAACATACTAATTGTTACAACAATCGAAAGATAAATAATTAGTTAATGTATATTTGATAAATTTCATTTTACTGCGTCGTAGATGGCAAACATAAAATTAGCACATAGCGTGACAACAGTACGCTTTCCTTGCTAAGTATTTGGCTAGTGATCAAGGCTAGTAATCCGATGGCACTCTCGATTTCTATGCACTCTCTGAATCCTCTCGATCATTTAATTATAATAATAATAATAATAATAATAATAATAATAATAATAATAATAATAATAATAAATAATACTATAATAATCATTTTGTTATTAACGATCATTAATACCTATCCCTTTTTTATGATCTCAATATAATCAAATTTGTATGTATACATTGATGGATTTTCATTCGTACGAATGATAAAAATGATATTGCAAAATTTTATTATATATGATATCATTAATGAAATATCAAATCAATTATATTTACAGAACCTGTCGCAATATGGATGATCGATCATTGTCATAATCAAATTGTAAGAAATTTCAACGTGAATTAATTAAGAAACTACGTTATATATTATGAAAGTTTAATCGATTTAGTATTATCATATTGCAATTTAATGTTGTATACAAAAAAAAAAAAGAAAAGGAAAAAAAGAAAAAGAATATTCTCAATTTACGATAACTGCGATCATATTAACTATATACAAATAAAATCGTATAATATCATATGTAATTTATCTTTCGAACGTTTCAACGTTGTTTGAAATAAATGATTATTTACATATGCATGTATGTATGTATGTATAAACAAGAAGTTACCTGATATCTGTCGGTCGAGAGTCCTCTCACTTATTGGGAGGTATTATATGTCTTCTTTAAAGAACGACTACGACGACGACTACTATGACGCTATACAACAACGAAGTCGTAACACCTTTTTGTTGACGATATAGATACCGCACAAGGTAATGAATTAATTATTGCACTCGATGTTTCCTATTTGACGTATATAATATAAGTTTTCGCGGGATTTTTGTATTTAAAAAAAAAAAAAAAAGAAAAGAAAAAAAAGTAAAAGAAAGAAACAAACAAAACAAAAGAAAGTTGGAAAGAGAACTTGGAAGATGATTGGAAGAAAAAAAGAAAAAAAAAAGAAAACAAAAGAAATAGGAAAAAGGATACTCTTTTTTGGAAAGATAGAAAGAAAAAGCAAAAAAAGATATGTCTAATTAGAGCACCCGTACAACCGGGATATGCTCTTGAGACTGAACCAAAGGACGTGCGTCTCGTCTCGTCTCGTCTCGTCGCGACGTCCGTCGTCGTCGTCTTCGTCGTTGTTTTCGTCGTCGTTTGCAAGAAACGTAGCCGTTGGCCTTTCTTTTTCTATCTATCTATCTATCTATCTACCTCTCTCTCTCTCTCTCTTTTTGGCTAAATTTAATTTTAACACATACGTTGCCGGACGAGCCTCCGTTTTGCTATAACTAAGGAAGGCTAGATGCAACAAGCCTTTCTTACTCTTATTGGTTCCCTCTCTCGTTGATTCTTTCTTTCTTGACTTCGTCTTGTTTCTTAATACGCACATCAATTGATTCTTTCCAAAGGCCGCACAATTGATTTCACTTAACCCTTGAATGCAATCCGCCCAACTCCTTGACGCGGAGACCCTGAAGAATTGCAAGGACCAAACACCTATTAAAAAAAATGAAAAATAAAAATAAGTACAAGGCTTAGCGATACCTCAATCAATTCAACGCGCTAATATTTCATGGACAGATCGATTTTGAATAAATTAGATAAGTTATTTACAAATTTATGAATATAAATCAAGATTTTTCTCCGCTTTATATTTTTAATACTTTATTTAAACGCTCATGTTGGTTATTATCAAAAGTTATTGATAATTATATGATTTATATCCTTTAATATTATCAACGTTAATTACGGAAGAGATAGAATTTCATGATTTTTTTTTAAATCTGAACTTTGGCGCCATTTTATATAATGCTAAAATTAATGCCACATTTTTGTACTTGTGTTTTTACTATTTACGAACAAATATTAATCATTTATTAAATATTACACGATATTTGAATTATAATAGATTCTAAATTAATCATTAATGATTATTGGATCATTAGCGAAGATAGTTGCGTATAAGAGTTATGTAAGCATGATGATGATGATGATATCATTATCTATTACATCTCAAACAACATAGAACGAGAAAAGAAAATGTACAATATTAAGCTCATGCATGATTCAATTTCCAGACAGTAATTTGTTTTGTCTATGTTTGTTACTTTATATAAAATGCATAGACACCTGTATGCAATTATACACATATATATATATACTATTATGTATAACATTATAGTAATATGAATTAACCTAAGATAGGCAGAAAATTGAATCATTTTTATAACAGTACTTGACAATTTATATTTTTGTTTATATCATTTTTGATTACCAATTGTTTATCGATTTAAATTATCTATATACTTAATACTAACAATAAGAGAAGAAATAAACATAACATATATTCGATTCTCGATAACTATTACCTAACTACATATTATAGTTATAATCGATTCTAAATAACTTCGTTACACTTCACGTGCATGTGTGTTTATATGGTAGCTAGTTAGTGGATTGTTTACACAACTGAAAGTGATTGATATGTTATAAAATAATTTATAACAAAGAGATGCAATGTTTTAATATAAAATATTATTGTTTTGATAAAATATTTACAATAAAATAATATTAATATTCGGTAATAGTAACAGTGACAAAATGGTATTTCTTACAAATATTTTAGGTTATGCCTTTAAAGTACGTATAATATATCATATTTAAATGATAAATGAATAAGTTCTTTTTTTTTAATGAAGTTTTATTTATACTTAAGGTACCTAGAAAACGTTTACGAGAAGGATTCATAGATTCTTTGCGCCTTACTGTAAGAGCAGGTGCTGGAGGATCTGGTTTACCTCGGTATGGTGGTAAAGGTGGTTCAGGTGGAGACGTTTATGTTTTATCAAAAGATGAATTAACGTTAAGGGATGTTAAGAAGAAATGGAAAAAAATTAAAATACATGCTCAGCCAGGAGGCAACAGTACTTCAAAAGGAATTTTAGGAAAACCTGGTACTGATATAACTATTGACATTCCTTGCGGTGTAACTGTCTTAGATGATAACGGTTTAAAATTAGGTAAACTTCATTGAGATTTAAGTAATATTTTATATATTACTTATAAGTAATGGTTTGTAAAATTGTTTTATGTTAAATATAGGAGATTTGAATAAAGCAGATACAAAGTTATTAGTGGCAAAGGGTGGTCTGGGCGGTTGTAAAGAAACAGGATTTTGTGGTCAGAAAGGACAAAGTAGAACGATAATACTCGATCTTAAACTGATCGCTGATGTGGGTTTAGTTGGATTTCCCAATGCTGGAAAAAGTACATTTTTACGAGCTGTGTCTAAAGCACGGCCAAAAATTGCAAATTATCCATGTAAGTGCATTTTAACTGCTACAAATTGAATATAGTATATAAATATATTTATTAGATTTTTAAAATTCTGATGTTTCTTTCAGTTACTACTTTAAAACCGCAACTAGGTACTATGATGTACAAAGATCATAGACAAATACCAGTTGCTGATTTACCAGGTTTAATTGAAGGAGCACATGCCAATATTGGAATGGGTCACAAATTTTTAAAACACGTAGAAAGAACAAAATTACTTCTGTTTATTGTAGATATTCAAGGTTTCCAATTATCCGTTCATGATTCTCATAGAACCTGTTTAGAAACAATTATTTTACTAAACAAAGAAATAGAACTTTACAAACCAGATTTATTACATACACCTTCCATGCTTATAATAAATAAGATGGATACAAATAATTCTGAACGAATTTATGCTGATATGAAAGATAAATTGGAAGATTTACCAAACACTGTGGCAGAATATCCAGAAGAAATAAGACCCGATCACGTTATAGAATTTGATGATATTGTGACTGCATCGTTAGCTCTAAAAAAAGAAAATGAAATAGAAATGATTAAAGACAAAATACGAAATATATTAGATATTAATGAAGAAAAGAAATTAATATCAAGGACAGAAATTATATCTGATTCTGAATTACATGAGAAACTAAAGGAAGAAGTGAGACAAAGTGGTCCTACGCTAGTTTAAATTTATCTACAACAAAATTTTATAAATTAATAGAAAACAGTTTTAAATCCGACTAAAGTAATTTATGTATATTAAATGTATATACAATACATATAACTTACGTATTTGATTCCATAAACAATTTTTTTTTTATATCTATACGTTTAACTTTTATTTGTTCAAGTTGTACCCTTTTTGTCCAATCTTTTCCTATGGCTGCTTTTTTTTCTATATTTACATTTTTAATTTCGCTTTCACTTCTGAGTATATCAATACCCGAATTCCATTTTTCTACTCCATTCCAAGCTATCATAACACCATTATCGGTACACAATCTTGGCGGTGTCCTGACAAGCTTGTAGTTTAGTTCAGAACATACAATATTCAAAGCTTTTGCTATAAAATGATTACACGCAACGCCTCCTGATACAACCTATAATCATATCAATCGTATAATTCAAATATGATTGAATTTTAAATCAGATACACTTATACTTACTAATGTTCGTTTATCTTCAGGAATTAAGTTTATTTTATCAATAAATTCCATTGCTATTTGCGTTTTCTTACAGAGATGTTTCGTGATTGCAAATTGAAAGCTAGCGGATAAATTATAAATATCAGGAATAAGCATATCAGCAGTGATATTATATTTCTTTTCTTGATCAGTAATATGTTTCACACATGTTGTTAATATTCCAGAGAAACTAAATTGACAATCCCTGTAAAACTGCATAGATTCTTTAAAAATAAACTGATCTATGTCAGATGCTTTACTTGCTGCTGCTTCAACTGCCTGACCTCCATTCATATTACTAAATTCTTTTATAGAATTTAGTTTAAGTCTACGAGCAACCTATAATACATTTGCATATTTTATTTTTGCAATTACATTGATACTATGATAACGTACCTTATCTAAAATTTCTCCTGGTGCATTACTTATAGATGATCCAAGTATAATAAATTCCTCTACATTTTGTACAACTACTAGCATACAATGTCCACCTGATATTAAAAGAACAAGGTAAGGAAAATCTACCTAAAAAGCAATATCAAATATTATTCTTTATGTCTAATTTTATATGAAGAATAGAAATAACTTATTATTTGAAACCTTCTCTGTTAATCGAACTGTTAATGCATGGGCTTGCATATGATGTATGGGTATAAACGGTTTATTACCAACAAGTGCTAGATATTTTCCAAACCTTTCGCCAATTCGAAGTGACATTGGAAGACCTGGTTTTACAGTAGTTGCAATAGCATCTATGTCTCTTAATTTTAAATTTGCAGATCTCAATGCATTCTCGCATACATCTGTGATATGTTGCCTATGCATTTCCCCAGCAACTGTTGGTATTATACCTCCATATCTACAAATACATTGTCTAAATGAATACAACAGTTTTTAAATTAAAAATCATTATATATTGTTAACATGTTCAAATTACTTTAAATGTAATAAATATTGTGAGTTAATTGCTTCACCCAAAATATTTCCATTGCTATCGACAATTCCACAACCAGTATCATCACAGCTAGTTTCAATTCCTAAGATTATAGCTGATTTTTGACTACAGAATTTGTTTAAACTTTTAAACTTACTGAGTCGAGGATATAAAAATTTCAATCGGGACATCATATTCTTTTCTAAATTCAAAATAAGAATATCAAAATAATGAAATCAAAATACAAAGTTGAAAACAAATTGATAAATTATAAATTTACCTAACAAAAAATACTTAAATATATACAATATATTGTAAATAAATAAAATTTGATACTTTTTTATGTCACAAAAGTTAGCATTGTTTTCTTATAAACATATATTCATACAGTAACATATATACTTCATATAAACATGAGTGGTATTAGAAACACACCGTAGATTATAGACTTAAAGGTTGGTAACGCAACAGAAGTACCACTTTTCAAGTAATAATATGAGACTACAAAGGTTCTAGGTTTTTTACTTTTATCTAGGCTAAGAAGTAGAGTGTGTTGCGACGTCGTTTTAGAAAAGGTTAGCATACTTTATTTAAACAAAGTTTCATTTCTCTTTAATATCGAGTCTCTGCTTTGTATTTACATGAAAGATCACATTCTTAAGGCCATTGTGACAATATGTGAAGTACAATTAGTTTAACATATTTATGGTGTACGTGAATCTTTTTTTGCTGTTTATTTTGCATAATAATTAGTTAACAATACAAGGATTGTAATTAATAACAAGGAGAATTAAATTAGTTCGTTGTAAAATTGATTGGCCAACGATAAAGTGATCAGGTTCAATTTAACCTTAATTGATTTAGTGTCTATATTTCGAATAAATTGAATTGAATTTTTAATTAATACTGCCATTATATAAATAAATAAAAAAATATTAAGTAAATAAATATAAGAATGTAAAAAATAATGATCTATCTATCTATATATATATATATATATATATAGGGAAAGTACGTAAGCGTATTTAACTGGCCGCGAAAAGTCGAGAGTAAATATAGCTTCATTTTCATTGGTTGAAATAAAGAGCTGATATCGATACACTAGACTTCGATATATCGCAGAGACGATATTGACGGCATCGATCGATGGTAATAGAACGAAGCCATTACAGGTTTTCTTTTGATGCAAAGAAGATAGGACGTACTATGTCGGAACAGTAAGTTATTATTTTCTTTCATTGATTTTTCTTTTTTTATCTTAATACTTTGTTTTTTTTTCAAATCTAAATTTCGATAATAATATAATATACGTTATTATATATAAATAGTAAATAGTGAATTTTTATATGTTCTTTTTTTTTTCTTTAATATACGGAGGTTAGGGTTCTCGAATACACAAGTGTAACAATGATTCAAACTATCAAGTGTTATAATTATATCTATTATTTAAATATAATTATGTATGTTAATTTTTAATAGTTATTACAGAAATTATTTTTTCAGTGACGATACACTACTTGACGAAGATCTTGGAGATGAAGAATATGATTTGGGCAATGACGAGGAAGAAGCCCTCCTAGCTGATGACTATGAATTGGACAGGGTGAGCATAATGTTTACCCATTATATCCTTGTTAAATAAAATTCTTTTTTTCTCCTCAGCCTATATAAAATAAAATAGAAGATAATATTACGATTATATATCAACATTTAAATAATCGTTAATTTGTTATTGATTAAAGATTATTTTTGTGTGTATATACATTTAAAAATAATCTTATACTATTGTGACATAATTTCATTTGATTTGAATATTTCTATAAATTTTTTTTTTTTTTTTACTGCAAAAGCACTCTTACTATGATTAGTTGATGTATAAATATTTATTATTGCCAAATATTTTTATCTTTCTAGTTGTAATGTAACTGTTTTGAAATGAAATGAAATGATTTGATTAATATTTTACAATATTTGAAAGATCATTTACAAGAGCAAGATTTAAATGTGTTAAAAGAATCTTTTTAATTTTTTGCTTTTTATACAAAAGAAAAACAAAACAATATAATCCATAAGTATTAACAATAATGTGATTTATGTAAATATAAAACAATACAAGATTTTTTTTTTTTTAAACAGGTAGAGATTATATATTTAATAATTGAATGTTTTCAACGATTACATATTTGAATGAAAATAGATTTATATTGTATCGTGTATAAAAATTCTACGATCTTTTCACTCTAAATAATATTTCACAAGAATATAAATATGTAACATAATGTAATATAAGCGTACTTATCGTTAAGTAAAAAAAAAAAAAATGTAAAAAGTCTATTTGTGAATGAGTTACAAAATTATCTCTGGGTACTCATTATTATTTAAAAACAAAANTAAATAATATTAAATAATATTTAGGGCTACTAGGGTAATATTTAACTACTATGGTAGTATTTAACTACTATTAATTATTAATATTTAGTAATTAACTACTACTAAAAATATTGAATACATGTGTGTGTGTGTATTTAATATTGAATAATATTAAATACACATGTATTCAATATTTTTCAATATCTTGTGCTACTAGGGTACTTTAATTGACTATATATTTAAAAAAAAAAAAAAGATGAAACCAATACTTTTTTGTTTCACTCGTATATGCGTTTAAACTTCTCACTCTATTCTCTTTTTGATAAATAAATAAAATCAATTACTTTCTTAAATAGATCGAAGAATATCCCACAAACGATAGAGATAAATTTAAAACGCACTTACACACACACACACTACACACACAAAGGTTAGAATTTATATACACGTTTGTCGTAACTATAAGATAGATAACTATCTATTTCATCTATCTACTCATCCACGATACACTAACATATATGAATAATAAAAAAGTAAATATTTGTAATAATATTGAGAACACACATACACATACACATACACACACACACCCACTCGTATAATTCTCGAGACGTTTATAAGTTAGCTGGACAACGCGAATAGACGAAATATTCAACGACTTAACATATAATAGGTGTAGAATTTAACTTCAGCGCAAGCGCGAAAATTTGACCTTTGCTTATGTACTCTTTAGGTATTTTCAACCTTCCATTTTTTTGTTTTTTGTCTTTTTTGGATTTTATTAATGGTTCGCTAGCGAAGCTTACGAAATCGTGTAACGCATCGGAGTCATTCCTATGATGACGACATATTTGTTCACTGTGTGTCTTTCATTACCTCCGAGAAAATTCTTCATCGTTAGCGTCATTAAAAAACATCGTTCAATTTCATTTTATATCCGTTTGTTTAATACTTTATTTTATTTTTATTTTTTATTTTTTTTTTCATCTTCTTCTTTTTTATTTTTCACTAATTTTGATATATACATAAAATATGTTGGAAGTTAATAAATAAATATGGGATTTAAAAGATGGTTGATTTTCATTATTTTCATCGAGCCTGCGCCATTTATTTGGGACAACTGCCTATACTGTTAGATCGATATTATACAGGGCTCAAACTGATAGATACCTTAAAGCATATATCTATAACGTCAGAAACGTATAATCATTTATGAAAGATGATGAATGAATGATCAAAGATGAATGAATATCGATCGATATGTTTTGAAAATGATTATTATAAAAGAATCATTTGAATTTGTAATATTCGTCATGTTTTAAACTAATTTCTGAAGAAATTTAATATCAATTGTTTCATTATAAAAGACCTAAACGTAGATCATGTATGGGGAAATGTGAAACGTGACTATGATCACGTTATTTCGTGAAGCCACGTGAGAACTTGCACATGAGGAATATCCTGGCTCGTTTCCTTCGCTAACGTCATACACTAACTCGTATTTAGAAATACAAAGCATTGACAAATAAAATACAAATAAATGTCACATAGTCGAGTAACGTTTTGTCAAGTAGCCTGAACAATAAGAGAGAGAGAGAGAGAGAGAAGTATAATAATGCATATGTATTAGCGAGGAAGGTTATATTGTAAAATGTTAATGATATGATATTTGTTTTAAAATCATCTGATAAATATTGAACGAATAAATATACATATATATAGATATTTATTTATTAATATTCATTGGTCGTTAAGATATTGAAAGAAAAAAACAAAATAAATAAGAAAATTATATTAGATATATATATCTATCTATCTATATATATATATATATTAAATATATATTATTAAATTAAATATATAATATTATATTAAATATAATATAATATATATATATATATTTAATAATAATATATTATTTATTAAATTAATATATAGTATATTATAATATATAGTAACATATAATATATAGTAACATATAATATATAGTATAAGTATTAGTATTATATAATAATATAATATATATTTATTTTTATATATAATTATTATATTATTTATTAAATTAAATTATACTATATATATATTTATAATTTAAATTATAAGAATTTAATTTAAATTAATTTATAAACATTAAATTTAATAATTAAAAAAAAATTAAATGTTTAATTTATAAAATATATAATTTCCTTATTTATATTTTATTATTTTCTTTCAATATCTTAATGACCAATATATTCTATTTGTTCAAATAAAAATATGAGATTGTTTTGAATGAATTTGTTTGGAATAAAAAAAAAAAGGATCATCTTCCTTTTGAAAATGTGTAAATAACCTCTAAGAAATGGACTCTTGGATCGTTACCAAAATAGTAAAGAATACTCTCTACTTCTCTCTCATTCACTTTTGAAAAGTTTCGAAGTCATTCAGATACAAGGGACATTTAAAATTCCCTCAAATGTCTTCCTGCGAATAAGAATAAATTTGGATTTTAAAAAAGCACGTGGTCAACTCTCACGCATGGAAACAACAATCTATCTATATATATATATATATATATATATTTACGTGACTATATAAAAACATCGTAATCGTTGGGTTTTTAAGTTTGTGTGCTATATGTGTATGTTTATATATGTGCGTGTATATGTGATTCCTCTCTTGCAACCGAATGACGTCAATATCCAACATCTACCATGCGACCGGGTCATACAAATATTCACAATCTCGACCAATCACAGTAATTCATTAATTCATTATCATCGTGTACATATTCATATGTATTTTATATGAATATTACGTGGTTTATTTTTATCATATATATATATATATATATATATATATGAGAGTATGTATTTATAATGGCTTACTTAAAATTTTATAAAATCACCCTGTGTGTGTCGAATTAAATATATATGAAAATTTCACATAGTACACAAACACATGATGCAAGGAAACATAATGAAGAAAAATACTTTCAGTCTTCGGGTGACTGAACTTTATTAAGCTCACACACACCCACTGAATCTCGACCAATTACAAATCAAAACTCGTAAACATTTCGTTATAATGATTCATTATGTCTCAACGTAATTATCGGGAAAACACATTTAACATTAGATATCTAATGTTGCAATTATTATGTCTCGTAGAAAGAGATAACGTTGTTGTGTAAAGCATAGCATGTATAAACTGTCAGCAGGTAGACGTGCCTCTGCGCACACCCACCGTATTGACCAATCAGAGACCATCTTATATGGATCTACTTTGTCTTCTTCCGCGCGTAGTCTCTTTTTATATGCAATATCGATTTAAATATTACAATCTATTTTACAAACGTAATATAAGATTTGTATATATATATATATATATATATTAGATTGTCTCAAAAGTTTCTTTCTTTTTTAGTTATTTTACAGGTACAATATTTTTTTGTGTTGAATAATTTAAAGTATAGTGAAAGGTGAAATAAAGTAGAATTGATATCTTTTAGTCAAATAACGTAAAATACGAATAAAAAAAATATATTACGCATACAATATTGTTCAACTTATTATCAAACAAAGGAATAAATGTTTGGGTCCACTTAATATATATATTACTAATATACTAATTAAATAACTAACACTAAATAACTAATATAATATAATATATATATTATATATTATATAATTATATTATTATAATATTATAGTATTATATATATATATAACAATGGCGGGATTTGGTATTTGCGTCAATGAACTTCCGAGTTCCTAATGCCAATTAATAATAATAATATAACGATAATACTATATATTACTATTATTATTATATAATAGTATTATATTAATATATAATACTATTATTATTATTATTATTATTATTATTATTATTATTATTATATTATATACTTTATCATTTTGAAATTATATTAAAATAATTTGAGTATGTTCATATGTTACAATCCTATAAATTAAATACGATAAATATGATCGATGAGTAATATCTCTATTCCCCATATTATCGTTTAACTATATGATAAACGCTATACAATTAAATTAATCAAATAGTTTGAATTCTGATATAATTCGAATCAAGTATAATATACGTATAGGTATATTACACATGTTATATGAATGTTATATATGTAGACATTGATATCTAATCGAAGTAAATGTTTTTTTATATGTGAAAAGATACGAAATATCTAAAGAGGATTTTTGATAAAAGGATAACGAACTACGTTAACGTAAAAATATATATATGTTATAATTTTTTCATTCATATAAATATCGTGAATCATAGACATTACTAGAAATTATCTAAAGATATTCGTTAATATTAATTTATTTTAATTCGTTAATTTATATTCATATATATTTATTTATATATATAAATAAAATATGATAATCGAAAAAGATTCATGAGATTTTTAAATTGCATATTGTATAAATATAATTATTAAATATCGACCAATGAAAATTCAGTAAAACCAGTCTATTTGCTTTACGTCACAATTTATCTTTCACAATCAATTTCCCTCGATGTACGTATGCGCATCTTATATATATATATATATATATATATGCATGTAGTATAGTTACGCACATGTTGCGTCACACAAAAGGAACTTTACCGATTATCTCCTATCGAATAAAAAACAATCATTGCGACAACGAAAGAAACGAATGATGCGAAGACATAGCTTTGGAAAAATATCGATAGTCAAGGGTACCAGGAACTATTATTGCAAGGTGATCGAGTAGATCTCGATCGATCAAATATTTCATTTTTAAAGAAACGATTTTATGAAAAAAAAAAAAAA